ACTGTTTAATAACAAAATGTATAACGCAGTTCTTAGTACAGGTTACATCCTCATTGTTTTATCAGATTCCGATATTGTGTTGATGTAAATTTATTAATCCTAACGTTACGCTGAATATTACGTGCGATGTTATTTAATAGGAAATAATTTAAAAAGCTACATTTATTGCATAATGTCTATGCACGACGCAGTAAAATTATCGCGGTTTTATTTTAATAATTGGAACAAATACTATTGTTTGTCTGTTAGATTGAAGCACTTATTTGCGCGTTTAATTTGTAAACTTCATTTCCAACAAAAAAATACATAATCTTAAACATCAATTTAACATTTTAATAAAAAAACGTAGACTCTTGGGTGTACATATTATTATGTACAAACAAAAGGGTATCTGTTTGGAATTGGCATACAGTTTGCAACATAATTAGTAACAAAATCCATAACTTCAAAAGAAGGTTCTCAATCCGACTATTTTTATGTGTGTTACCTCCATGATCGGTTATTTTTCACACGAAGGAAGAATTACTTGTGTCCCGTGCTTAGCCAGGAGAGATGGATTTAGCAGTTTTCGAATTATCCGTAATGACGCCTATTTAATTTGACTTTGACTGCATTTATGATTTTCTCATTTTATTACCGACTAGCTTTTACCCGCGACTTCATTTACGTAGAAAGTGAAAATATTTTTGAATAATACAATGTTAAGGAGCTATTTAAGGTACCAAAATCACGCTTTTTAACCGACTTCAAAAGAGGAGGTTATCAATTAGCATAAAAAACATTATGGTGAGCCAACCTTAAAATATAGACATATGCAGTCGCGGGCTTTTTTAAGAACTTTTAAAGGGGATCAATTTTATCATACATTATTTTAGCGAAACATTAACCGTTTCCGCAGCACACGCAGTGGAAGCTCTCAAAAAGGAAAACAATGATTTCGAAACATTATTTTTTGGTGCTCCGCTTGTATTGGTCTTAGCGTGATGTTATATAGGCTATAGCCTTCTTCAATAAACGGGCTATCTAACACTGTCATTTTTCAAATCGGACCAGTAGTTCCTGAGATTAGCGCGTTCAAACAAACAAACTCTTCAGCTTTATATTATTAATAAGTACTTAGTCTGGCCATAAATACTGTTACAAAGGAAAAAAAAATCTATTGCAAATAGCATTTATTACTTTTACAGTGTGTTAGTTTAATACATAAATATAAAACAATTTAAAGTATAAAAAGCTTATTCAAAGTGGTCTCCATTGGCTGCAATACAGTCCTTTAAACGTTGAGGCCAGTTATCAATAGAAGCACGCACTTTTTCCATGGGAAAATTTTTCACTGCCAATCGTACGGATTGTTTTAGGGACTCCAAATTATCATGGCGTTTAGAGCAAGCCGTACTCTCTAAAACTGACCATAAATCATAATCCAGCGGATTAAGATCGGGACTAGACGACGGCCAGTCTTCAGCTCTGATGAAGTCCGAAACGTTCGTTTCCAACCAAGACTGCGTAGACCGAGCTTTATGACCTGGCGCCGAGTCTTGCTGGAAGGACCATTCTTGATTATTGAACATGGTGTTGTTAAGGGGCTTCACTACCTTCTCAAGAATGGTGTCTTGATACACTTGTGCCGATATTTTGATACCTTTTTCACAAAAGTATGGCTCAGTCACTCCTTCATAGGTAATAACCCACCAAACCATCACTGATGTCGGATAGTGCCCACGTTGCACTCTGTCGACTAATTGGGAAGCTTCCTTAGAGCTCTGAGCATAAATACGGTCATTTTGTTTGTTAAAATGTTGCTCAATTGTAAAAGATTTCTCATCCGTAAACAAAAAATTTCTATGACCTCCCTTTGCGTACCGCTTCAGTAGTTGTTTTGATTTTACCACCCTATTCTCTATTAAATTATCAGTTAAGAAATTACCAGTACGTCTCTTATAGGCTGCAAGTCCTAAGTCATCTTTTAAAATACGCGACATGGTTCTAGGTGCTATCTTCATCTCCCGAGATAAAATCTTTTGCTTTCGGACAGGATTTCTTCGAATTCTTTCCCTTACTGCTTTGACAACCTTTTTCGTACGAACAATACGTGGACGGCCAGATCTTTTTCTGTCACAAACAGAGGAGGTCTCATTGCACCTGTTAATAGCCCGGTACACAAACATTTTACTAATACCAAGCGTATGGAGAGTTTAAAAATTGCATTTGGCTCCATACCTACTTTGTGTAATGCAATCACAGCGATTCGGTTCTCTTTATCACCCCACTCCATTTTAATATCGCAAAATATTGTACAATGTACCTATTGGCGCCAAAATGAGAAAACTCAATGAGCAATCATATAAAAATGACAGATTCCAAATTCAAATGTAATATTTTGTTTATTTTTAATTGTAACAGTATTTATGGCCAGATTAAGTATAGATGATATTTTTTATTAAAGTCGTTATTTTGTTAATAATGATATCAACAAAGAGAGTAAGTACTACGTGACGGCGTGAATTTACGGTAAACGCTGATCAAAATGGTTAAGTGGAAACAAGTGGAAAGTAAAAGCGAGCCGATGCGATGAGTTTAGGAGAGCGTTAACGAAACTTACGCGCTCAGTGCGGCGTGGATACCAGCCGCGTTAGGGCACTTAGTACGGGAAAACATTATATATAAACAATACGATAGTTCTGTCGATATTTAAAATTATTTCTCTCCCGAATTTACTGTTCAGAACATTCGCATTAAGCTATTTTGTGTACAACAAAATATATTTAAGACCGGCATTTTAGTACGATACGATTTGAATTGAAAAAGTGCACGATATTTTTTTTAAATTTAATATCGTTTGAGTTATTTACATTAGTAATGTTTTGTTTTGTGTATTTCTAAGGGTTTTTTTTAATTTCCACCGGTTAAATTTAAAGGTGAGTCTGTGTTTAAATATATAAACATTATTACAATTTTTATGACCTTTAGCAGACGAGCTTATGCTCCACCTGATGGTCAGTGATTAACGTCGCCCATGGACATCAGCTTTGCCACGGGCAGAGTCCCGACATCTGCGCACGAAGGTGTAGTCTGCGCAAGCCTCGTTTGAAGAAGTAGCACACGTAAATAGACCTAATGGGTTAAAGCGTTGATGAGCTATTAATATTAAAATAAGTTTTTTTTTATAATTTTACACGTAATATTTGTGCTAGTTTAGATGTTGTAAGCAGAATACATTATTACGTATTAGCATCATAATTTTCCCTTTTTGAGTATTACTTATTATCGAGTTAATTAGTGAAACGCCTACCTAATTCACCTTTGCAGTTATTAGTCGATATCAATAGTCTATACCGAATATTATCTGTTATTGTTTTACGTAATTACGTTATATAATTCTGAAATCGTATTTGATTACCGTGTTCAATGAAATTCACTGTAGCTTATTGATGCCGCAACGTAAATACTGCCGGTTATAGATGCCACTACATAACATTTTGAACCGATATTAAAATGACAGCAGACATCAGCAAGACTATAGGTTTCTTTGTTTTGTGTATGGGGGGTAGAAGTAAGGACCATCATCTTGTATAGGGGACAAGTTGAAAAAGTGCCCATAACGTCTTATATGCGGAAACATATGGTATCACCAGTATTTTTCTCATAAATACTGTCAAAAGAGCGTAGTTTTGTTTTTTTAGTTGTACTTATGTTTCGACTACTATTAACAAAATTAATACATAATTTTAACTTACTCTAAAAGACAGATAATGTAACTGGTAAAAAATAAATGCTGCAAATATCATCATTAATATTAAAAATATTACATGTTGAACCTCTAAAACACTCTCCTGTAAAATTAGTAAGTTTTGAAATTATACAGTTTTAATGCGAGAAGACGATATGTAAACAGCAAGCTATTGTTGGAAAACTCGCCGAAATGGCGCTAGTGTAGGAAGTGAAAATGATATGAATATATAGCAATTAAAAATGAGTATAGCGTGTTGCCCATAACACGTCATTACGGATCCTCCTGATCCATTAACGGTGCTTTTAGGTACCACAAGCACCGGTCACCGTCCTCGTGGAATTCGTCGCTTGCGACGAAGGGCTCGTCGAGTGAATTAACCCATAGACACAGCCCACTGAGTTTCTCACCAGATCTTCTCAGTGGGTCGCGTTTCCGATCCGGTGGTAGATTCTGTGAAGCATTGTTCTTGCTAAAGCAACCCTCCCGGCTTGAGCCCCGTGAGCTCACCTACGCGTCAAGGAGAAGCTGAAATAGCCTCTCAAGGCTATCAGCATAGGTAGGAAAAAAAAGAAGTAAAGCTGAGTTGTAGCTATACTGAGACCTTAGAACTTATATCTCAAGGTGTGTGGCGAATTTACGTTGTAGATGTCTATGGGCTCCAGTAACCACTTATCACCAGGTAGGCTGTGAGCTCCTCCACACATCTAAGCAATAAATAAAAAATAAAAAAGGAGAATATCATCAATGTAGTTGAATTAAATATGCATTATAATAAAAGAATAATTTAAAAAAAGTCAGTTGTTCATGAAATTTATATAGGACCACTTTTTTTTATTGCTTAGATGTGTGGATGAGCTCACAGCCCACCTGGTTGTTACTGAAGGTGGTTACTGGAGCCCATAGACATCCACAACGTAAATGCCGCTACCCACCTTGAGATATAAGTTCTAAAGTCTCAGTGCGGTTACAACGGCTGCCCCACCCTTCAAACCGAAACGCATTACTGCTTCACGCCAGAAATAGGCGGGGTGGTGGTACCTACCCGTGCGGACTCAAAAAAGACACGAGAAGCTACTGCTTCAAAATTAAACATAATCATCAATATCTATTCACCAAGAAAAACACACACAAAATGAAATCGAATTGAGAGCCTCATCCTATTTTTAAAGTCGGTTAAAACACTTCAATCGGATTTACAATTGAGCAGTTTATTTTGAAAATTAGGGATAAACAAGATTTACCGCCACTAAATACCTATCCGTCTTAGATGTGGTCTCCACTCTTCATCGTGGTATCGTTGTTGGCGTCCATCGAAGCCCACGGTCGTGTTGAATCGCCTCCCTCGCGCGCATCGGCCTGGCGTGCCGGTTTCCCCACAGAACCAGACTATGACGACGACGGCGTCAACTGCGGCGGAATGTGGCATCAGTGGAGCTATAATCGCGGAAGGTACTTACTGCTTATCGTTTGACGGGTGTGTGTGGCTTATATAAGCCAAAGCAAGCACCAATAAAGAATGTTTCAAAATAAGGGTTAAAATAGCTCCTTAACATTCTATAATTCAAAAATATTTTCACTTTCTATTATTATATAATATATTAATAAAATATTATTAAATATTATTAGGTGATAAAAATCAAGAATGTTGAATTCGATTTAGGTTATTGATTAGATATATGAAATCACAGATGCGGAATCTGCGGTGATCGGTACGACGCGCCGACACCGCGACCCCACGAGCTCGGAGGAAGATACGGAGACGGCATCATAGTGGCCCATTACAATCCCGGGGCGATTTTCACAGCGACCGTCCACCTGACCACTTCACATTTGGGCTTCTGGGAGTTCAAAGTATGCCCTGATCCAAAGGACAACGCGCAAGATTGCTTCGATCAATACCCTCTTGAGTTAGAAAATGGGGGGACTAAATACTACCCAAAGAAAGGTAGTGTGAGATACAATATAAACTACAGACTACCCCCTGGCTTGGTGTGCGAACATTGTGTCTTGCAGTGGAGGTATACTGCTGGAAATAATTGGGGGGTGTGCAGCAATGGCACGCAAGGTTTGGGCTGCGGAAACCAGGAGCAGTTCGGGGCCTGTTCTGATATATCTATAGGCAAATCGAGGATCGGAAGTAGACCTGTTGAGGCCTCTCCGTTGCTCTACTATTTGAGCAGGGGATATATAGGTGTACATCAAGGTGAGTGACATTTGGTGTTTCATTTTTAAATCAATAATCACAATCTATTCCGAAGGTGGAATTGTTACAATATTATTTACAAATTCATTTACTGATTCTTATTTTATTGGTTGGACTGGTAAACGAGCTCAAAGTCTACCAGGTGTTTAGTGGTTACCAGAGCCTATAGACATCAACAACGTTGAAACACACATTGAAACATGAGTTCTAAGTCAGTCTGAGTTTAATCCTATAGTAACTTTAACGGTTATCCCACCCTGTAAACTCGTACGCAGTACTGCATTGCAGCAGAAATAGGCGGAGTCGTAGTACTTACCAATGCGGACTTACAAGACAACCTAACACTAGGAATTACGCCAATTATATTTTTTTTTATTTGATTTTATTAGACGATGTTATCACTTCATCGTTGAAGTCAATCGTGAACTTATATTGAACACATATTTTATTATCAAAAAATGGTAAAAAATGGTAGCGCGATTTGAACAATGCAATTGTACAATTATACCAGGCGTCTTATACTTTAGGCCACGCACTTAATGCTGTATGGTCACTGCCCCTTTTGTATATTTAATATGGCAACAAAAACAGCCAATCAGAATTTCCCTCTATTTGTCAACAGGCTTTCATTTTTTTTGTTTAATAACCATTGATGTCTGGTGTTATCCAACATATAAAAATTGGAATTGTTTTCTTCTGATCTATGTCACAATTCTTCACCTATTTTCCTTCTACAAAGTAAAAGTACTCTTTACTCGAGTAGTTCCAAATAGCGTCAAATCAATAGAAAAGAAAGTACAAATTGAAAGTCACAGCGAATCTTCAATGATTTAAGGTTATCGGGTTAGAAAGTTCAAAATTTAATTAAAGTTATTACGTTGTCTGTTCATTTCTTCTAGAAGATTGCACAAAGTGGGAATGAGTTGCTCGCTCCGGCCATTTTAATATTGCAATAATTGTTACGTTATAATACTCTTTGTAAAAATGAATATTTAAAAAAATCTAATATTTAAAAAAAACAAAGAAATGCCCGCTGAGTTTCTTGCCAGTTCTTCTCAGGACGGAGGCTAGTTTTTGTGAATTGGCGGTAGTTCTTTTTGACGTTCAACAAATATGTACTTTCATTTATGTTGAATAAAAAAAATTGATTTAATTTGATTTGAAACGTTGAAATAGGGACGCGCACTCGAATTACGAATCTGCCTCTCGACACCGATCCTCAATCGCGTCTCGTTTACTAGGTATATGGCTTATATAAACATAGACTACGGAATATTTCCATGAAGCTTCAATTGATTATTGGTGCGTTAAACAGTGACCACAGAGCTCTAGATTTACCGTTACGGAAGTAGATGCCTTTAAATTGTTAGGTTGGAGGCTCCTCGTCGATCTCGGCAGCTCCGACGAAGAGTTCGACGTGCGAACTAACCCATAACACAGCCCACTGAATTTCTCGCCGGATCTTGTCAGTGGGTCGCGATTCCGATCCAGTGGTAGATTCTGCAAAGCACTGTTCTTGCTAGGGCTAGTATTAGCAAATTCTCTCAGGTTCAAGCCCGTGAGCTCACCTACCCGTCCGGGCATAGTTGAAATAATCTCTTAGGCTAGCAAAGAATAGGTAGGGATAAAAAAATGTTGGAAGCGCTCGGGTAGCTGTTAGCAGATCGCACCCCTCCTGCCTGAACCCGTGCTCGCCTACCTATCCTGATTAAAAACTGGAAAGGCCTTCGGGCCGCCAATAATTCCTTCGTAAAGAAAAATTAACAGCTTTATAGTAGACACAGACCCTGACTGAGCTCTCGATGTCCATGATCGACGGTGACACTCATCATCAGGTTAACCGTATTTTCTTTAGCACAGAGTGGCAGTAAAAATAAACATTTTAAGCGGTAATAAATTTTCGAGATATGACGTTTTCTTATCTATGGTTTGGATTGAGAGGGAATTCTCTGTCTCGCTCTCGCATAAAATTTGTATGACGTAAGCATTGACGTCATGACTCGTTGTAGTGCGCTCTCTGTCTTGCCTAAACGTCATTCCTAAATAGATTTCAATGTCATTATCGACAATCGCTGTATTTTTGCTTAGTTTTTTTTTTTTATGAGACAATATAAAAATAATCAGTCGATCAGCGGATTAGATATTAATGTAATCTAAAACATCAGTAACACTGAGGTTTTACCGTGCAAAATAATATAAAGAGGCTATAGATAGCTAGGATTATTTACCAATTAACACTTTGTTTTCTACTATAAAGAAACTATTTATTGAAAGTACTTATTGACGATGTGTTTTTCTTTTCTATTGTTGGCGTTACAGTTTTAATGTTTATCAGCAGTTCTACCTTTAAAACCGGAACAATGGAGATAGAGCCAACCCGTGATGACTTACCACCCTACCACGAATAAAATCTATTCTAATCTAGCTTCCATTTCCTTAAAATTTGTCCATTTTAATATCCTTGACATATTTTTCCTAACCCAGTTTCCTCTGCTCTTTGAGAGAATGTTGTGAGCCCGTGCAACCGTTCGCTTAATTTCTGCCACGAAACCATCACGCATTGCAGCTTGATGGATAGGATAGTCCATATTCCAATGCATTTGAGTGCGTGTCAGACTGTTCGTGAACTTCAGTGACAGTTTGGCCCTTTAATGACTGCACAAATACCACCAGACGGACCATGGGCTCGTGTATCAATCAAGACACTAGCTTTCGTCGTTGCGCAAGTCAACTATCGTCCGGATGAAATAAGCAAAATGTACCTTAATTTTATTTGTCCACAGATCAATTTCACTTGAATAACGACTCGGGGTCATCGAAAATCAATAAAAATTTAAATAAAATAAAAGGGAAGAAACGAAAACACAAGAACAAGAAGAAATCCAAACCTCATAAACAGAAGAAGGTAATGTTTTTTTAGACTTCTCGATAAATGTCAGGTGTGAAGTTTAATTTTGTCAAAGTTTAAAATTGCAGTATTACTTACAGATGCTGATTTGGCGCTGAATTCGGACATACTTTTATTTATTATAGCTGACCCGGCAGACTTCGTAGTGCCTCAATCGATAAATAAAAGACCTAAACTTTTGTATAAAATAAACTTAAAACAAACAAAAGGAATCCGTCCGACGGGGGACACTACAAAGGAAAAACAAAATTGTTATTTTTATTCAATTCCGAGCATTTTCATATTTACCTACCTTTTAAACCTTCTCTGGACTTCCACAAATAATTCAAGACCAAAATTAGCCACTCAGTCCAGCCGTTCTCGAATTTTAGCGAGACTAACGAACAGCAATTCATTTTTATATATATTATGGATTATTTTTTACCACAATATTTTGCTGATTGACTTCAGTGAGAAAATACAAAATAATCATCAACAAAAACATCTTCATTAAGATCCTGCTGTAACAAATCTTGATGCGCTCACGAACAACCGGACTGATGCGCGTTTGATGCATTTTCTATTAAATCTAAAATCGATCCAAAACTTCTCGTTATTGGCTCCGACACTGGGCATATCAACGATAAAAGTAATTGTGCAAGTACTGTCGAATATTTTGTTCAATACGTCCTACAACACAGGCAGTTAGTTACTAGACAACGTTTGAATTGATTGATTCATTTTGCAACGACTCACTTTCGCGCTCTTTCCAACGCAACTTAAATCATAGGTCGCGCGCGACATGCTCTCGTGCTTATAATTTAATGCAGGAATTCCGAAAGGAAGTTTCCTTTTCATCCTGCAATAACATAGTCGTCTTTTTTCTCCTACCTAAGCTTGAGAGCTCACGGGGCTCAAACCTGATGTCGTTGCTAACACTAACCCTAGCAAGGGTAGTGCTTCACAGAATCTATCACCGGATCGGAAACGCGACCCACTGAGAAGATCCGGCGAGAAACTCAGTGAGCTGTGTCTGTGGATTAATTTACTCGCCGAGCCCTTCGTCGCAAGCGACGGGTTCGGCGAGAAATACATATATCCGTGAGTATACAACTGAGATTAAACTGAGCCTCTTGGGAAGTATTAATATTGTCGTGCCCCTGTAACTACTTCACGGGAAAATCCGTAAACCGACCAACCAACCAAAAATTAACATTAAAAAAATAACAACAAATCTGATAAGATGATATTGAACGACTTGTGACGATAAATTTGCGTTAACAATTTTCTTTTTCTGGTAATTATAATTTAGTGGTGTGACACTGATATAGCTTTAATCAACTGTAGTTTTACAAATACCTTTTGGACACCATTAAAAACGGGTGATTACTTGAATTGAAATGATAAAAATAATATAGCATCAATTTTGAACAGGGATTGAATTGACCATAAGTATTAATTTAGCAATAAGTTCGATTATCAAATAAGCGATATAATTGTGTTAATAATAAGTACGTTTTATTAAATTAATTAGCCATGAAAACTGTTTTATTTTTAAAGTTTATCTTCTCATACTCTCATTCTCTTCTGCTTGCTGTCATACCACGATTTCGTGCATTGCGTGCGTGTCGGCATTCCACGATCAATCATTCTCAAAGAGAATCTAAGTATTAAATAAAATATTTATATTTAATGCCTTCAAAAAATCGACGAGTATACAGTTCTCCTGATGCTTATCATTAATCAAGATCATCGTCGCTCATGGAAACCGACAATGATAGGGGAAAACTGAGACGCTCTAAAGGATCCTTTGAATTGCATCATTTGAATTTTGAAAATGGACAAGTCAAACCGCTTAGAAACCACAGTAGATGAACCTCATCCCAGACATTTTTGGAGATATTATACATTAAACATAACGGCCGATATACCACTCGGTATTAAATAAAAAAATAACTTAAATATAGGTACGTTGTGGTGACTCATGAAGGCACGTTATATTTCTGTATTTTGGGCCGGTAATTTTTTCTCTACCCAATCCCTGGTAGGCTAAAGGGCTATTCCAACTTAGCGCGGACCTGTGGTTGAGCTCATGGGTTCAACCTGTGAGAATTGCTAACACTGGCCTTAGCAAGAGCAATGCTCCGCTGAATCTACTACCGGATCGGAATTGCGACCCACTGACAAGATCCAGTGAGAAACTCAGTGGGCTGTGTCTATGGGGTAGTTCCGCACGTCAACCTCTTCGCCGGTTCGACGAGTCCGACAAAAAGTACCGGGAGTGGAGCCGGGGGTCCCGACAAGACATGTTTTGGGCAACGGCGGCTTTGCTTTGCCCCTTCGCCTGGGCTGGATATGATTAGGCAGGGTACGCCTGGAGTATACCCCAGCAGTTAATTCTCGTTTCGCGGGTTTCTCCAATAACGGAGTTCAGAGACATTACAATGAGACACCGCTTCCCGTTCGGAAACACAAGATCTCAGCACTGTGTAATGGTCGAAATGACTGAAAATCTAATTAAAGTTATGTCTACCTATATCTATAATTAAAATTATAAACTTTTTTTATGGCTTAGAAAGGTGGACGAACTCACAGCCCACCTGGTGTTAAGTGGTTACTAGAGCCTATAGATATCTACAACGTAAATACGCTACCCAGCTTGAGATATAAGTTCTAAGGTCTTAGTATAGTTACAACGGCTGCCCCGCCCTTCAAACCGAAACGCATTACTGCTTCACGGCAGAAATAGACAGGGCGGTGGTACCTACCCGTCCGGACTCACAAGAGGTCCTACCACCAGTAAAAATTACGTTACTTTTCTATAGAAATACGCTGGACTACCCATCGCACATACTCGTGTCCACCGCAACTAATATAGGATTTAATATAGAATACGCCGCAGTTCAAAAAACCTCAAAGAACCTTAAAAATATCTTCACGTTAATTTAAATACAAACAATCTTAATTCAACTCCTCAGAACTACATTTTTCTACTGTGTTATAGATACTGAAAACGAAACATACGAAACAAGAATAATCGCTTCCAGACTCCAAAGAGCAACTCTTAATAAATACTGGAAACAGGGATTGAAATCAACTAGGAATTGAAAGCGAACGGGATCACTAGCAAATTATACCAACGAGGCGATTAAAAATGACATTGACATATCTATAACTTCCAGTCTTATCATTGTTAATGACAATACAATTGATTTGAAATCGCAAATTTAAAACTTCAAACAAAAACTGAATCGAATTAACAACACCAAATGTACTATATTGTTTTATAACCATACTATAAAATTAAATATTATAACAAAGTGAAACAAATGAAATATTATAATATTATTTCAATATTATTGATTATTTGTATTAAATGTAATTAAATTTTTAAAAGACACTCAAATAAATTTACGGTTTTAAAGGCCTTTAATACTTTATAGCTTTACACTTTAGCAAAATAATATAATTCCTTAGATCCTTACAAAAATAAAGTAAAAGGTAGAAGAACATTGGGACCATACTGTTGCCTCTTTGTATTCTTTTTAAATGACAGCCATGTGAAAGATGTAAGAATTCAAACGATATCCCATACATGCATATCTATTCAGGCATTTAAAGGTTTTATATTCAGGTTGAGTCAGTGAAGCGGTTGATGACTTCACACTTTGACGGTTGATGACTTTTTATTTCGTCTTCCTTAGTCTATGCAACTAAAATGTATTCATTTTACCTCTTTAGAGTTACTTTACTGCGTCTTTTTGCCGCGCCGTCGCGTCCGGAAACTGCCCTCCTCACACTTAAAAAATAAAACTAGGTGTTCCGCATTAATTCGCCGTTTTTCTTACTCCCTAACACGATATCTCCTATTTCTCTCACTCAGTGCATGCTGAGCACTCTGGATCCAAACTAGCCTTCAAGTTATGGTAGTTTTAACATTCAGTCATGCTCCATATCTGTCATTCATCCATACCGTTCCGTTTCGTTCCTACATACATGTACCCACATCTAGTTCTAATTCAATCTAGAAAAACACTGCTTTTTCGGGAAGTCGTATAAAAACAAATAACCTTGTCTAGTAATACAAAAAGACCAAATAATTAGCTAAATCGAAAGGCAGACCCCGCTCCGTGTATTTATCCTTTTCGGATCATTGGTACATTGTGGCAAGTGTATTACGACCCTTAAAATGTATCCCTTCTGACGACATAAGTGTATTCCTCTAACCTTTATTTAATTGGGTGAAAAAATTAGAACCTTTCACATTCAACGATCTCAACATAGGTCCACCCAGACCCAGACATTGGTCACCGTCCTCACCAAGCCCGTCGCTTGCGACGAAGGGCTCGACGAGTAAATTAACCCATAGACACAACCCACTGAGTTTCTCGTCGGATCTTCTCAGTGGGTCGCGTTTCCGATCCGACGGTAGATTCTGCGATGCACTGCTCTTGCTAGGGCTAGTGTTAGCAACACTCCCGGTTTGAGCCCCGTGAGCTCACCTACTAGCTCGGTGAATCTAGAATAACCCCTCGAGGCTACTAGAATAGGTAGGCAAAAAACAGGTACCAGTAAATTACGGTACTAAGAGATATAAGTAGACTAAGATTAAGTGGGTTCGGCATAAAAATCCAGGAAGGTAGTAATTAGTTTACCCTAAGTTAGAAAATTGATCTAATATCCTTTATAGCATATATTTCGAAGTGCCTGGTTTCAAGCAGTCTATATCCAGCGCGTTTAAGTACCTATGTTTTTATTGTTCTGCATGTGTTTTATTACAAAAATTACAAAGAAAATTATACAGAGGAACAATAACGAATGAATAATTTTATTACTATATTATTTTATAATACGATGATTATCGATGGATTAAACACAAATATATTGTATATGATTCCCCTCTCCGTTTCATAGGAAATAAGATAAGGGAATGATTAATATTTCTTGTATATAAAAGGGGACACTCCTAAGTGTTCATCATAGTCAACGTGTAAAATTGTTTAGATAATTCGTAATATCGAGTGTTTTCAAATTTCAACACAAAACATGAGAAATGTAAGTTTAATTAATTTAGCGCTTTTAAGTTATAGGAAAAGTTGGATGAGCAAGCTCGCTGTCCATGTGGCCCATAGACATCAACAACGTAAATAGGCATAGGCTTTAAGTCTCAGCTCTATGATTCTACGTACGTTTTTCACTTTTTCTTTGAACTCTATTGTCAATACCTTATTTTTGCAAAGGATTTTTTCATAAGCCTAGTCAAGAGATCACAACATGTAGGCCACCGCCCAATTTCAACCTAATTTAGAGGTGACTTAAGTTTAAGTGGCATTAGGACAATGATTTCAATATCGCGACTGAAATCGGCAGAATAGTCAAATGTAGTCCACATAACGTTCCATCAGTAGGATTCTCTGTTCACTAAGCAACGTTTTTTGCGTTAGAGTCCAAGTCAGGGGTGATATAAAACATTTTGCATTGATTTAAAAGTTTACTAAAGTTTACTTAAAATTACGAAATTTCCAGCGAAAAAATGTTAAAAATTTCTATGATTCTGTTAAGTTTAATTACAGCATGAACTAAAAATAATAGTGTCACTTGAAATACCCCGAATGGTGCCTAATCATTGATCTGAATCATATATTTTCCCAACTATAGAAGAGATCAGAATCCCGACTTGTGGAAAGTGGTTACTGTTAGTTTATATCCAAATTAGTTATGCTACGACTGTTGATACCAATGATCGGCGATCCCAGAGTGGTCACCACGGCTCCGGCAATCGCTAGGTTTAAAAGCTTAGTGATGGTATTACTGACGAGAGTCCATTCAATCATTTATTTGGACTATGGACTCGACTCCTATGAACTATGGACTATTCTTATCTATTATCAATTACGGTGTCAAATAATGCTTTATTCGCATGTAGGCCTACAATAGATATAAAAATAAAATAATTAGAAGACACTGTAACAGTTTTTAAGACCCTAACCATTGTATAGAAGCTTACTGGTACCTCTTGAGAGTCCGCACGGGTAGGTACCACCACCCCGCCTATTTCTGCCGTGAAGCAGCAATGCGTTTCGGTTTGAAGGATGGGGCAGCCGTTGTAACTATACTTGAGACCTTAGAACTTATATCTCAAGGTGGGTGGCGCATTTACGTTGTAGAAGTCTATTGGCTCCAGTAACCACTTAATACCAGGTGGACTGTGAGCTCATCCACCCATCTAAGCAATAAGAAATAAAAAGGTAAATATAAGAAAATCTATATATATATAAATTAATTGCTGTTCGTTAGTCTCGCTAAAACTCGAGAACGGCAGGACCGATTTGGCTAACTTTGGTCTTGAATTATTTGTGAAGTCCAGAGAAGGTTTAAAAGTTAGATAAATATGAAAATGCTCGGAATGAAATAAAAATATCAATTTTGATTTTCCTTTGATGTATCCCCCGTCGGACGGATTTCTTTTGTTTGTTTTAAGTTTATTTTATACAAAAGTTTAGGTCTTTTATTTATCGATTGAGGCAATACGAAGTCTGCCGGGTCAGCTAGTGCTAAATAAATTGTGATTCCAGATGCAGTTGTCATATTTCCTTGCATTCGTTGCCTTGTTGGCGACTGTTCGTGCACACGGCAGGGTGGTGGAGCCCGCATCTCGAGCTTCGGCCTGGCGTGCCGGCTTCGGCACGAGAATCAACTACGACGACGACGGCAACAACTGCGGCGGCTTCCATCGTCAATGGGAAACTAATAATGGAAAGTAAGTGTACCATAAAGCTATATCTCAAAAAATTTACATCAGCGAGATGCGAGCGAAGGGTGTGAGCTTGGAGAGATGACATATGAAAGGCTTAAATGGACATGCTGCTACGTAGCTACTGCAATAATAAGCTTAATAAGGGCAAAAAAGAGGAAAACAAAAAGTCAGTTAGTTTTTTTTTTTTATTGACGTCATTATAGGCAGACGAGCATACGGTCCACCTGATGGTGAGTGGTTACCGTCGCCCATGAACTACAGCAATGCCAGGGGCAGAGCCAAGCCGTTGCCTACCGCTTAATACTCTCCACAAGCTTCGTTTGAAGAAGGACATGTCATAGCGCTCGGGAAAAACCGTGGAGGAGAGCTAGTTCCATAGCCAGATAGTACCTTTCAAAAAAGACCTCTGAAAACGGACTGTGGATGACCGCAGTGGCTCCAGTTAGTATGGATAAACTCTACTCCGGTGGCGGGCGGTGCGATGGTAAAAACGAGATACCGGTATCATCTCGAACAATTCTTCAGAGCACTTCCCATGGAACATACGGTACAAAATACAAGAAAAAAGTTTTACAAGAAAAAAATATACGTAGAGGTTAGATGAATAGCACGTAAAAACTATTGATTCGGCTAAATATTAATACTAGATCCGGCAATATTCAAATAGTACCATACCCATTTACGTCATTCAAACAAACAATATAAATTGAGATTCAATTTACAGCGCTCATCAAATTAATTATAGTTTAATCATCAATAATCTAACCAAAAATGAATGAACAGATGTGGCATTTGTGGCGATCCATACGATGATTCGCCTCCTCGGCCGCACGAGTTGGGCGGTGCCTACGGTAATGGCGTCATCGTTGCGAAGTACTCCTCGGGACAGGTCATCGACACCACCGTCGAGATAACCGCCTACCACCGCGGCTATTGGGAATTCAAACTATGCACCGACCCCAGCAATAACGAACAGGAATGCTTCGAGAAATACCTCCTGGAATTAGAAGATGGCGGCACAAAGTATTACCCGAAGAGCAGTGGTCGTTACAACGTGAGGTATCGGCTTCCTGAGGGGGTCTCGTGTGAGCATTGCGTCCTACAATGGACGTACACAGCCGGTAACAACTGGGGTGTTTGCCCCAACGGAACTGGAGCTCTGGGATGCGGGAATCAGGAGACATTCTGGGCATGCACGGATGTTTCGATTAAGCCCGTTGAAGCTTCAGTATCTGGAATGAGCTTACCGATCCGCGTAGCTGATGATAAATGATAGTAATTAGTTTTACGATTCTTTTTGCGTTTTTTGGCCACCGATGATTATAAGAAATAAATTTGTTTTTTTTAAACCTGTTTTTGTACATTTTATTTTAAACAAAAATCTTTAATAATTTTATAATGTTGTACACTTGGCTATCCATAATAAGAAAATTATAGTTCGTCATACGTGGGTACATTTTCATAACTAATACCCGGTCATAGAATCATATTCCCCGGGCAAGCTTTCGAGCTTCTTATAATAGTGAGCCGTAAAAACTTAAGAGAAAAGTTTATGTATGTAACATTCGTAGAGAAGTTAATACAGAGCACATCATTTTCATAGAGAAGCTACCGGAACATACAACCCGATGTCTCGGGGGATTGATGAGTTGATGTTCAAGTTAAGACGTTCATAGGCTTTGCTATACACTTATTATTACACTAGCGACCCGCCCTCGCTTCGCTTCGGAAACATTAAAACACACATGAAACCAAAAAAATAAAATAAAAAAATAAATAAAAAAAAGTAGCCTATGTTCATCAGGGACAATGTCGGCTTCTAATGGCAAAAGAATTTTTCAAATCGGTCCAGTAGTTTCGGAGCCTATTCGACACAAACAAACAAACAAATCTTTCCTCTTTATAATATTAGTATAGATAGGCTGTGAGCTCATCTAAATACAACCCCAATAAACCCTCGTCCTACCCTAAGCTAAACAGCATACCCTAAATTATGATAGTACAAATACACTACCAATTGAACGATAAGGTTCTCCCGGCTGCCAGACCTTTATTAAAATAGCTATTAGATGCCTTATACTTTACTATTCTATCTTATTCCCTATCGGTACATATTATTATTATTATTTTTTATTGCCTAGATGGGTGGACGAACTCACAGCCCACCTGGTGTTAAGTGGTTACTGGAGCCCATAGACATCTACAACGTAAACGCGCCATGCACCTCGAGATATAAGTTCTAAGGTCTCAGTATAGTTACAACGGCTACCCCACCCTTCGAACCGAAAGGCATTACTGCTTCACGGCGGAAATAGGTGGGGCGGTGGTACCTACCCGTGCGGACTCCCCCAAGAGGTCCTACCACCAGTGAAAACTTATAACTTAAAACTTATAACTCATTCTATGCTTAATCTATATTACGCGCCCGTATAAGCAAAATGCCCGGTCCTGAACACAGATAAATGCTGTTTGTCACATGGTTTCGGGACACGGGCCGGGCGCGTGTTCATTGAAGTTAATATGTTAGTCTTAAAACTATCGGGAAATAATAAGGCGAAAGTGTATACTATTTATTTCAATATGCTTAAAGCTATTTACATTCTATTCTACGGTAAATCTATGTATACGTTATCAATATCCTTATCTATCTATATCTCCATGCACTCTATTTATTTATCTATTTGTTAGATTACAACTCTATGTCTATATACCTCTATGTCTAAATTCGCAAAGCTGTAAGTTAAAATTTTATTTACTAAGCAGTGCTTGGAGAAAACAGGCCGAATATGACGTTTATGTACACCCTCGACTTGGGGATTTGTTCGAGAGTGGACAACTTTTAATTATTACTAGTGGCCATCTAGTAGTTATTTTATAAGTTTGAACGTTAATACGGTTCTATTGTTAAAGACTTTACTTCTTTATGTAGTAGTAGTTCTACTTTTCCGACTGGGAAGGCAAAGGTATCGTACTATACAGCCTAATCTTTTTTTTTATGAAAAATGATAGTATGAAGTGAAATGAAATGAGATGAGATGATAGGGGATGAAATATAATCTCAGTAAAATTGTGGTTATTTACTGAGACTTTTTCAGTGGACTTTTTGGAGGATCCCGTGTGTGTGTCAAATAGATGGTAGCATGTGTAATGTATTTTTTATTGATTTAATGTATTTTTTATGCATAATTAAGAAAAAAAGTAGCATTCTTCACTCCTCTATAAGTGTGGGAAATTTCATACCCCTCCGTCGGCACGATTTTCGTAAAAAGGGCTACTAAGTTTTTGCTTCACGTATTATTAATATATAAATAGATACCAACATCCTAAAATCACAAAGTAGCCTTTATAGGTAGGGCATGTCGTGATCTCGGACCGGTAGGTACCACTATCCTGCTTGTATCCTGCTTCATAACACTGAAATGTAGACAGTAAGAGCGAATTTCGACCTTATGTCTCAAGTTTGAAGGCGAAATTAATTTATGTTCATGAACGCTGGTAATTACTTTAACCTTCTTAAAAAAAGGAGATTATCCATTCAAATGTATTTTTCGTATGTGACGACAAAACCTTTTTTTTGTTGATTATTTTGGTCATTTTTTGCTTAGATGGGTGGACTAGCTCACTGCCCACCTGATGTTAATAGGTTACCGGAGCCCATAGACATCTAAATGCCGCCACCCACCTTGAGATATGAGTTGTAGTCTCTATTTTCACAGTACAACGGCCCTTCAAACTGAAACGCATTATTATTCCAGTCGGTTTTTTGAGTATTTTCTCGGGTTTTAACAATTCGCAGACAAAATTAAAACTCAAAATAGGCGTTCGTGACCACGAAAACTAAAAAGTATTCAAAGGTCGGAAATAATATACGGACAATAGAAAAAACCGTAAAAATTAGTCTTAAATACTCCCCCTCCTTGCGTCGTTCTCCTCATTACTGAGGGTCGTGGCTCCCCCGCTGAATAAACCTCTATTGTACGATTGTTCTCCATCTGCTGCGATCCTTGGCCTCGTGGAGCTTGGCGTCCAGACAAGATCGAATTTGGTCTATCCTTCACGTGGGACTGCGTCCTCTGGGCCTGCGTCTTAAGTACTAAATTTTCATTTTTGTTAAATTTCATATATCACGATATCGAGGTTGAAAGGGTGTTTGGTATAAGCGACATTTATCTTTGTAATTAAAGTACCGTTTTATTTGGGTATTAGCATCAACAGTTCGATGTTTTTAATTGAACTTCAATTAAGTTTACTCCATTGTGAAGCTTTCTGTTATGATATATTTTTTCCAAATTTGAAACTAAATAGTTCTCCTGTAAAATTGAAAAAATGTCGCTGGAAGCAGAAAAGCAAACAAGCCTCTTCATCCCTCGTAATGGACTCGACTGACAGTTGACACGAACGATTTTCGCGGTTATTTTCTTCATAGAGGTCACTCACTCGAAACACCTTGAAGGATTTCCAAACGCTTCCTATAGTTGATGTTTGGATCTAGCGTTTAATAAAGATAACAATCTTATCGTCGATCAACGATTGCGAATATTAAATACGAATCGAGCCGCCAAAGGAGCTCGTATATTTTATTGGCAATTAAAAAAAATTAATACGGCAATAATCATCGAGATTACGTCAAATGGTTTCATCGTGTGAATAGAAATAAAATTTGTTGGGATTATTCTAGATGACAAGCGAGAACTCGCCGGGAAGTCGCGTTAATTTCGCGTCACCTGCGCTAGCTAGAATGAAAACAAAAACCAAACTTAATAGAAATTGAAAAGTGATTGTTTGCTAGTGGAAATTGAGAGAAGTTTAGTGCTTCCCAAACTTTTTTCGTTTCCTTAATTAAACATTACGTTTACGAATAACACTCCTATGAGACCCCAGAAGCATGTCTTATCGGTTCCCCCGGATCCACTCTCGGTGCTTTAAGAACCCTCAAGCACCGGTCACTGTCCTCGTCGAGATCGTCGATCACTACGAAGAGTTCGGCGAGCAAATTAAGCCTCAGACACAGCCCACTGGTTCCTCGCCGGATCTTCTCAGTGGGTCGCGTTTCCGATCCGGTGGTAGAATCTGCGAAGCACTGCTCTTGCTAGGGCTAGTGTTGTCAACGTCCCAAGTTAGAGCCCGATAGGCGCATCTACTTGTTCGGTGAATCTAGAATAACCCCTTGAGGTCACTAGAATAGGTAGAAAAACAAAAAAAAACAGGTATAAAAATAAACTAGTTTTTCCACCATTACTAATATCACAGGTAATAAAATCACAGGTTGAGAATCGTTCGAATAGTTCACTAAAAGTTATAAGTGCAAGCAAAAAATATTTTTTGTAATAATCGTTCAACGTGACTTGTGATTAACTTTATGACCATTAAAAGACGATGACAGTACGCCACATTTTCTGTAAAGTATAACATAAATTCATATTTAATCTATGATCCACATTTCGCTCGCTGGCTCGTATGTGATGTACATGTCGTCAGTAAGACAGCTATCCAAATGAATCCCGCAGCAATTTTTTTTTCCCTACCTGTTCGCTGGTAGCCTAAGAGGCTATTCCAGCTACGTCTGGACGGGTAGGTGAGCTCACGGACTCAACCTGAGAGAATTTGCTAACACTAGTCCTAGCAAGAGCAGTGCTTCGCAGAGTCTACCACCGGATCGGAATCGCGACCCACTGAGAAGATCCGACGAGAAACTCAGTCGGCCCGCAGAAAAGCAGATGAGCTTACGACACACCCGGTATCTTTTGATCCAGAGGTCAACTTGTGATATGCGTTGGTGGTTTCCAATATTGCCAATTATCACTTAAACGACGGCTACTTCATTAAAACGCAATGACAAAACTTCGAGCACGTTTGTGACGGTAGTTATTATAGAACAAAGGATATTTAACAGATATCTTAATCTCGCTTAGAACTTAATCAAGATAAGCTTGCATATATACAAGTACAGTCGGTCAACCGAAAAATTTCACCCGCTCGGTGGAAGATCTTCCCTTTGTCGTAATCATCTCAAAAGTGCTTGACGTCATACGTGACCTCAAAAGTGCTTGACGTCATACGTGACGTGTTAAGGAAAAAAATAGTATCATTAGTCACAACTTTATCATCACTATCTTCACATTGTAAAACAATTTTATATGTATTAATTGAAAAGCACTTGACTGATTACATTTATTAGGGTTCTTTCAATTTACATTGTCATGATTCTATGAATGGAAAGTTCTGGATAATATGTCGTTCGTCGTAGCCGTTGATCAACATAAAAAATCTAAA